TTTAATTTTTCGGTTTTCACTCTTCAGTGTTAAATTAAACCCGTTCGTATGCGTGTCTGAATACGCTAATAATATACAACGCACTAAGTTTCCTTCCGAGCTATCACGTGCTCGGATTTCCCTAACAGTTTGTTTTAGTTGCTTACAAATCACACCGACGCGGACATGCTTTCTCAAAGGCTCATTTTAAGATTTGGATTCGTCATTGCAACAATCTTTATCGAGTGTCAACAGCTTGAAAATTCCTAGAGATACCAAAAGGACTCCTGTTTCATAAATGAACTGGTGCTGGAGATGACCTCGCTATTACTGATTCTGCATAGAAACACTTCTTTGCTGATTTTTCATTCCGTTTATTTGTCACTCTTCTTTGTTTAAACAAAATATCTCCCGCCTGGAGTTAAGTGATTTGTTTGGAACATTTTGTCGTTTTAGTGATTGCTCCCGTCGCAACGTGCTTTCTTCACAGAACACTGCGGGAAATGTCGTTGCAGACATATAAGCCATGTAAGAGCTCTTCATATTGCCGTATTACATGAAGTGGTCGTAATTCGTACTAAGTATGCGGGGTCCTTGTCAATCCTTGCTTTCTCATGCCTTTCAACCTCGTCACACTCCTCGTTTGATGTTGTTTCTGGATGTTTTGCTGAAACTTGTCCAATATTTCCGTCTTCTCAGTCTTGTGAAGAATTTATTTGAAAGTCTCTTTTAAGGACATAAAACAGCTTTTGGTTTTTGACGCGTTGCAGTTCCCGACATGCATTCTTGTCATTTTCGGTCGTATTCGACATCTTCACGTTCGATATTATAAAATACCAATATAAGAAGATGTTCTGAACTGTTCGCTACTCATTTGTCATTTATTATCAGCAACAAGCTGTATAATTTGTAAAATAGTTGTTCTCGCATTACTTTTTCGACCAGTGAAAATAATGCTAATTGGCTTCTTCAACTGCTGCAAGAATGTATTCTACAAACATGCCCGCGAATACTTGCTATTTTTCAAGTTCGTCACCTGTGTCAATAATGTTGTATTAGAAGAAAGCAATTTGGATTTGATGCCTTAAAACGATTCATGCATAGGTGCTCTGCACAGTTATCTGAAAGTAGACAAATGTGGCCCGACTTCCCTTGTTGCTTTGAGTTCTAAATCACGCCATTTTTTAAATTTTCGGAAGCCATTTAGGCATTGTTTATTATCAAATGATATGGTAACCGTAGGTAGGATTCTTTCTGCTTAAAAAGGGAGAGGCGCAATTCGAAGAAGTTTGAGATTCGAGTTTGCCTCTCTTGGTCCTGCAGACAAGGACGTAGAGCTAAGTGCAACTGAGAAGGTAGACCCAGTAATAATCTTGCCCTCAGATTCTCAGCACTGAACGGTTCACTATTCCTGTTTTATCATTTCGTTACTCACTATTTTTATGGGCCTCATCTCTTTGTCCCCCCTTATGCAATACACGGTTATAACTCTAACGCTCTACCTTTTATTGCATATATTGGTTTGGGTTGGATTATTGCGCGTGGGAGATGGACAGACCATCGCGACACTGGATTCAGAACGAAGGAGGATATTTCGGAAGGATCAACAACCCCAGAGTTCAGTACAGTAGGAAGCCTAATACAAGGGGGAGGTTTGTCTACACTAATATTGTATAAACCTGAGGTACCAAGACCCAACACTTGCCAATGAGGAATAACTCACGCTTATCATTTTCGACCACGTCTAAACAATAGAATAACTGGTGAGCAATCAGACTATTTTTTAACCCGATATGTTAAAAGTTTACAATTCAGGGCACCAACTGGGCGACGCATTCGAAAATCTAATCTCCTGGCCTTAGAGACATCACCGATAAAAAGGTTCGAACGATTCAGTACGACTCGTTCATTTTCTATGCTCAACGCCCGCATTGTTTGTCCTGTCATCGTCGTTTGCGCTTATAAATTCTATGCTCTGCCCGACTTTCTATCGGAGGGAATAATGAGCCGTTGCTTTACAAGAAGTACAACCAAGAACGCAGGTTATTTGAGACAGCGTTATTTCGGACTGTTCTGTTATCGTTCACCCAACCATTATCTTAACTGTAGGATGTGGTTATGTAGCCCCACCTGATGGACACAGTACTTTGAAGCAACGTTTTCCCAGAATAAATTTTAATAAGGCAAAGGCGACAAAGCATGCAGTAGTTACTGACGTCATAAATTTCGAGACCTCTCATTCAGCTGCGTACGGTCATTGCATAGGTATATGGCAAGGAAAACTGTTCAATCAACGATCGGCCTAGAGAGATAAAACGTGATAGGTAACCTGAAACATGGGTCTAGTATGCGGGTGCATATGGCGAGGGGGGAGGGGGAGAGAAGTCATCCAAGTATGAGAGTTAGGACTACAATGAGAACTTGCCCAGCGTGATTTAGAGTGCAACGCGCGGGCAGCATTCAGTCATGCCGGGGAGGGGGAGGGAGGGGGGGTTGGGTGCGAAATGAGAGGGCCTATATGGGAACAGGGTTTCGTCCATAATCGATCCTTACCATGGTAGTGCTAGGTTTATCACGTGTTCCAACTGCTTACAGAGTTCTGGTTTCCTTCTCCGTATTGCAGCGGCCTCTGCGAAGCGCAAGAGACGCCCGGTCGTCGCCCGAAGCAGGACCTTGAATGAAACCATTGGGTCCACCGTATGGCCCGTGTCCACTATGCGCTTTGTGATTGAGCTCCTGGGTACCTTATTTTCCGCCTTAAGCAGCCACTTCGGCATATGTTCAGCTGACCGAGCTGCCAACTGCCCTTGCGTGCGCCCAATGTACTTGCATCCGCAACTACATGTAAACTCATAAATACAGTTTGATGTGGCGTGCATAGGCAAAATGTCTTTAGCTGGTCTAACTGGGATGGCCGTTGTGGTGCTTATGAACAACAATTTAAAGGGACATACGTTCTTTCGATTGCGCACCGAAGTCGTCGCTTGATCACGTTTGACACGTTATCACCCTTGAAGGGGAAGTAGATGGTCACTGACTTTTTTAGTACAGAAATTTCTTCAGGAGTTCCTTGTCTGGGATGGCGATATTTGTCGATGAATTTCTCCGGATATCCGTTTGCAAGAAAAACGTTCTTTAGGAAAGTGAGCTCGCCATCGATCGTATCTGAGGAGCAGATTCTGGTGTCTCTGTTGAACAGGCACAAAACCAAGTTCCGTTTTCTCTGAATTGGAACGAAACCGAGGAAGTGCATGTATTGTCCTTTCCAGGTAGGTTTTCGATAAATGAATCTCTAAATAGAGCCATCTGCCCGCATACGTACAAAAACATATAGGAAAGGCAGTGTGCCATTCTTTTCATGCTTGATCGTTAATTTGATCTTTGAATGCGATTTGTTCAGATCCTTGAGTAGGTTAGGGTTAGGGCTGCAGTTAGGCGTTAAGGTTATAGGGTTAGGGTATTCTTTCGCATACAATTACTGGACCTCATCTTAACCGCCAGTGTTGTAGGGGTGTCCAGTTGTGGGTCCACGCAAGGGTCGTAGTAAGTCGCTTACTTGTTTGCAGATATTGACTACGCCTAGCGTCCACTAACCGGTACCCAACTGTCACATGTGCCTCCTCGAGGCCAGAGTCGGCCTAGCGGCCACACCACGGTAACCGCCTCGACCATCAAGTTAAGGATATCCGGCGTCGTGTGTCTCCACACCCGGGTAACGCTCCTTCCCTTCCCATCCATACTCCCGCCGCCCATTCATCCATTCTCACCTCCTCCTCCTCCTCCCCCACCATCCACCCACCCCCATCTTCACCTCCTCCCACTTCGAAAGTCCAACGGAGAGAACGAGGACCATTGCCTTGTCGTCCCCAAGACGAGGCTCCGTCTGCAGCTCCATAGGAGGCCACAAGGCAAGTGACGACCAGGTAAGTTAAATACCATTCTATTGAATTTGCCTGATCATCGTTTACATTTTCACAAGTGCTTAGCTTACAGAGGGAGAAGGTCTCCGGTGTTGTGTCCCTCTCCACATCCGGTATGTTCGTTTCCTTCACCCTGTCCACCCCTTAGACCCCGAACATGGTGGTGGTCTCGGTGTTCTGTGTGTGTGCCCCCACTTCCGGTATGACTATATCCTACCCACACTCCTATGCCGCATCTTCCCCTTTTTAGCCCCCCTTCCTCACTTCTCCTCCCCTCCCTACCCCCGCCCTTCCGCTCACTCTATTCTCTTTACTCTTCCCTCTTCCCCAAAGTCCAGATGTCCTACGGCGAGGGCGACATGCAACCACGTAGTCAGCCCAGGCTAATCGGGTCGTTCTCTCACTAAACCAATCCGTGACCCATAGTGGAGTTGGGCAGGCGTCTGGGGCAAATCAATAACCTTATATAGGGATATCACCGCTTACCACCTTGAGGTGGAGGGGCTGGAAAAAGTGCTCAAAACAAATGTTGGGTCCACGGGATCTACAAGCAGACTATAATACACTCGATCTAGACACTCCAAAAAAAGGCAATATCCTTATCCCCACCCCCCTCGCCATTGACTGCCAGAGGGAGCCCGCTCGCTGCGTCAGCCATTGTCCCTGTTTTTGGCGGAGTCTACGTCCTGTTTCGTGTGTATCGTGGACCAGGGTTGTTGCTGCAGGTCCATTTGCATGTCCTCTCCGAGTCAATTTGGGTTTCGAACAGTTCCTCCTCCTATTTTCTTGGCGTATAAAATTCCGATTAGTGTGTGCAGTGAACCAGGGGGCGTGGTTGTACGCCTAGGTGCGAGTTTGTAAGAGACAAACCCACTAGTTGGGCACAGCGAGTAGGCTATCCGGTAAACGAAAATAGCAGTATCCCAACAGTTACAAACTAGTAATAAGAACAAAGTCGTCAGCAGGTAAAAGTGTACGTGCGTGTTCTTATTCTTATTCAAAGTTGTGTCAAAGCCTATTGTAACTGATTAAAACAAAACGGACTTAAATGTCACTACAATACTCCCCCTCCTAGGAGAACGGAGTTCAAAAAAATGATTGTTAATAGAAGGAAAATGTGGGAGTGTTATGCATATTGTACAAGTTGGTAACGGTCGGGAAACGGACATGACGACCGCTGCGCGTAAGGGGAGGAGTCTGTGGGATAAGGGAAGACGCGGGGTTATTGGGCGTTAATGGAGTCTGGGGAATAGCAAGTGGCAATGTGCCAAGTGGAGGTTGTGCGGTTGGAGAAGTTGAAACAGGCTCGGTATAAGTCGCCTTCAAGCGATCGATTGAGACCACGTCGGTGCGGCCTCCACGGTCGGCAGGGGAGTTTTCCGACGCGAGTGTTTTATAATTGCACGGAGAGTGGCAGCGATGGGCGTTAGAACCATAACTGTGATTATACCAATAGAAACCATCAACTGTAGGTTGGTTTGGAGTGGGAGGTCTCGGGCGGCGAGAAATTGCTGGACTACGAAGGTTATAGACACGAGTGGCCCGGAGCTGGGAAACTTCGAGAGTGAGGGCATCCAGACGTTTGACAACATCGTCGATTGTGGGGGCAGTTGTGCTTCGACTAGCGACGTTAACCGTAACAGGAGGCTGGTAGTACTCGAGTATACGGTCAGCAGTCTCCGCGAGCATCTGAACAGTCGATGAAGGAATGTTAGGCACAAGGATGGCTTGCACAGAAGGAGGCAACCGTTGGAGGAAAAGTTGCTTGAACATGGTGGCATCCAGCTTTTGTCCGTCTGCCGACTGATCCAAACGCCTAAGCAACTGAGTAGGCTTCCTATTACCGAGGTCCTCCTCAGAAATTAAACGTTGGAGACGTTTTTGCGTTGAGAGGGAAATGCGGGAAATCAGGGCCTCCTTTAGGGCAGTATAAGGGGCTTCTGTGGGCGGGCAACCTATGATGTCGCGGAGGTCGGTGGCGATGTCCATTGGGAGTGCTGTCACAATATAGTGAAAGTTCGTATCCTCTCGTGTGATCTGACGGAGGGCGAAACGGGATTCTACAGTGCGCAGCCACAACGAGATGTCACCGAGCCACACGGATGGCAGGTCAAAGGTGTGAATGCCGGCTATCGGCTGGCTGGTAGAATCGTAGGACATAATTAGCCGATGTCCGTCAGGGGTCAGATAATTGGGGTAGGGAACTAGCGCGTTGACAGTGAGATTGGAGATTAGCGCTCGTATGGGATGAAAGGGTGAGACAGTGTAAATAGTAATTAAGGGCTAGATGAATAATCTGATCGATAAAAATTAGAGTGAGGCTTAATCCGAATGGAAATAGTTATGCAGAGAAATTAAACAGAAGGAGCTATGAACGATACAGGGCCACCAGTGTAAGAGACAAAACCACTAGTTGGGCACAGCGAGTAGGCTGTCCGGTGAACGAAAATATTAGTATCCCAACAGTTACAAACTAGTAAATAAGAACAAAGTCGCCAGAAAGTGAAAGTGTACGTGCGTGTTCTTACTCTTATTCAAAGTTGTGTCAAAGCCTATTGAAACTGATTAAAACAAAACGGACTTAAATGTCACTACAAGTTCATTCGCCGTGCCAGCCACCTGCATCCGCTCCATCCTTCGGTCTTCTTGATCATGTCTTGACACCAGGCTCAGGCAGGTAAGGAAGAGATAGTGTGGTACATGCAGCACAAGTTTATATTCACTCTTAACGAAATCACGCACAAGCCATCGTGCCTCCTTTCACCCTACTGTGGAGCACACTGTGGACATCATCGGTAACGACAGTCGAACTGTCCGTATCTAAACCACCATCTCGTGCGCACACAGAGAGTGCGGACGCAGAAGCATGTTCTCGAACCGAAATTTATCTGTACCTCGTCACCTAGATTCTTTGCCTCTACAAAGCACGCACTTATTGTTACGGCGGCAGATAATGTCAGGTGGCGAGATACTGTTAAATGTCATTTCGATAGATTGCTCTCATCCCGTCCGAAAGACCCCGTCTGTCAACCATCTGCGCCATGTACGTTCATCTGTTCGTGTTTCTGGTCTCAAATGGTGGTAAGAATTATGAATGACCGAGTGGAGACAGAATAGGCTCCAGACGGTTCCATATCAATCTAACCCCATCCTCCGCCCCCTCACGCTCTGCCATTACAGCTTGGCCAAGTTTGCCCTGACAGGTGGAGGCCTGCTTCTGACCCTTCTACCCGTTCGGCACTTGTTCGTCTCGGGAGGCCAGTGGATTAGTGCACCTTGTCCCTCTATCTGTTGGTTTGTCAGTCAAACGCAAAACGAGGTGTTAACGCGGTTAGAGGGGGTTGGTAGATAAAAATAAGCGTATAAACGTCCAATGAAGCAACTTGGCTTTGAGGAGATTCGGCTTGGGTGGGCGAAATTGCCTCCTGTACTGCGTGTGGCCCTGTCCCAAGCTGTCGGTGAGTTTAGATTGAGGGCTGTTTTTACTGTTAAGGTCAGGGTCCTGAGGGTTTGGATTGGGGTTATGGTTGGGGTCAGATTAATGAGAGTTTGTGTTAGGGTAAGTGACTTAATTAAAGTTAGAGCAAAAGAATACGAACCCTCCTGGAATTTAACCGGAGGTCGTCCGTATTATCAGTTGGTCCATATTTGCTTGTCTGACCAGAGATTTCAACGTGTGAAATCTACTCGCTTTAGTAAAACAGGAGACGAAGAAAATTGTACCGATACAGTGTTAGCAAAAATGGTCTAAAAGCTAATTGCAAACATCGATTTGCAATTCAGGTAATTTCAAACTCAATGTTTTAACAGTAAAAGGTAACTGAAACATTTCCATCCGGGCGCCCTAAACGGCAAGGGTAAGGTCGGGGTTACTTACTCCGGGAAGAAATTCTGCTAAAAGAAAATAGTTGGTGATATTTAATTGTAAGTGCCAGAGAAAGAAATAAAAAGACCTTGTGGTAAGTGTTGCGTGAAGGTGGTCAAATGCTGTTAGGTAGTCATCGAAGTAAAAATACGACAGCGCGATACCTTTTTTACAATACCTGCAAAAGGGGAGTAAATTAATTCACTATTATCATTGAACGCAAAAATTGTATCCCATTTTAATTGGTGACAATATGGAGGATCGAAATTTGTGATACCATAACGTTCTTAGATGTTCAACTCTCTTGCTCAACGCAAATGTCCCCCAGAGGAAGTAACAGGGGCCATAAACCATACCCTTGTCCCCTGCACTATGCAAGTGAAATCTGCCTGACTCCCGCGGCTTGGACTTTTTGAGACGGAGTTTTCTAGCTAAGTATTTTGACTCGGATTTTATCATTAGTTCAGTTACGATGGAGGTCTTTCGAGTGAGAGTGTCAAATACATCTGGGTGCTTCATTTCTCGTCCCCGATTTTCGAATGTACGATGTCCTCCTAGCCATGCCTATTCACTCCGCAGCCTGACTGTTGTATCCCCCAAATGATTATAGATTCGGTTCAAGGCGTGATTACGTACCCTCCTTAGTGTAGGCAGCTCTTCGCTAAATTCCAGGGACGCCTATTCCAGTGTCGTAATTTTAACTCTAACCTGTCACATAATCCCAACGCCAGCCCTCCTAAACCTCATCCTAACCTTAACCCTAAAACCAACCTCAACCACTAACTCTAGTTTTACTCCCCTCCTCGGAATTTAGAAGAGCATCTGTAGAATGGGAGTACTTATAGCCGTGCCTACCGTAAATTTTGACACAAATGAAAATGGCTACTAGCAGACCGTTGTTTATTTTTCTCAGTTCTGCAAGACAATTGCCAATGCACGCAAAGGTACGTGTCCAAGAAATTAGTTGGGGCGAAAGTGTGGACTTGGACACCAAGCAAGTTTGTTAGTCGGTGCTAAAATTTCTTTCCGTCTTTTGGTTGTGTGTGGAGAAATGACGTGACTGCGCGATCGACCAGGACGAAGGTCGCTCGATGTTTATCAACGAAGATCGAATTTGACTTGAGTGAGCTGAGACATGTGACCTGGATGAACTGAGTCACAAATACTAACAGAGAGGCGTTCAATCCGATGAGCGGCCAGGAGCTGACTTCGTTTTGTGGCAGCCGCTGATGAATTATGGCTTTCTATATGACTGTCCAACCACAAGCTAATGTCATCGTTGGCCGATATTGGCATACTCGGAGATGACTACTACGAAATACTCAATACATGATCTAGTCACCATCGCCGACCACGTTAGGCGGCACTGCGGTCATAGTAAGCATACTTACTCGGTAACATAAACACTATCATTTTCTATCCGAAATTTAACTCTAATAAATAGCTATCCTTGTAAGGCGACGACTTATTTGCTGGACTCTGCTACAATGGAACTTTAAAGGTCATTCTCAGACTACCTATGTCGAACAGGAACAATTTTGTGGATAGCAGAAACCGGCAGACATAAAAAAATGAGGCTGAAACGGCTACCTCTGGTTTATTTGTCATCGGCAGCCTATCATATCCCGGCCTAGGGTTGTTGCTGACTGGCATATTTTGGTTTGATGTTGATGAAGTAAAAAGGCAAAGGCTCGAACCCAGTGTCTTCCAGGACTGGGGTTTGGATGGGAATAACCGCTAATCGCGAATGAGTCAAAAAAGATAACTTCAATCGCCCTCGTGATTTGTTACTATTTTCCCGACACTTCGTCACCGCCGGCCTTAACTTTGAACCCGGGCCGGAAGCCCAATTGAAAGGTTTATATTAGCGCCTGTAGCAGAAATCATAAGCGCAAATAAACGTTTGCAAATTTGTCAACCGCTGCTACGAATAAATTTATATAGTAATTTTTAATAAAGTAATGTTAAACACGAAATAGCTTGCTCGGCGCGTATGTAAAAGTATGCACAGGGGAAGGTATTTAGTGAATTATGGGCAGACACCACCAGTTATTACGCGATCCTGTCAGATCTCCGGTACGCCTTGGTCCTTCACCATGACAAACGATCTCTCGCCTCGTATGATATTTCATATCCCATACGGAGAACTCGCACACCACTTCAGATAATCACCACTAAGGAACTTTGATGCGGCAAGTAGGTTGCCAGTATGGTTCCTCACTTGCTCACCAATAAGCAAAAAGCGAACAACAATTTTCTCGCAAAATTCAGGGACAAAGCTTTTCAGCCTTCGAAAATATTGTGGCTAGTAATAAGACATGTTGTTAAAAAAATCAGGAAGGGTGCTCCATAGAGAAGTAATACAGACGCAAATGAGGCACAGCAAATGGTCTGTTCATAAGGAAATGAGTCGGGAAATGTTAACTTCTATCGAGGCTCCAACAAGACATTTTATGAGGTAGCGAATGCCCTAGGAAGATACAAACAACACGCCATGTGGGTAAAAATCAAACGATAATCCCAAAATCAGGGAGTCGACTGAAACAGATGGCGACCCGTATTGCGTGCTGCGCTTCAGCGAATAGCACACTGGCCGTACCATATCGGCTGCAACTCCAAGGCCGAGTTTACGTTTAACAGGAGGATCCCTTTATTATGTGCAGAAAACTGGTGTCAGCCTGGGTCCACGACTCACGGCGGGCCCTAGACTTACGCACGTCCCCCCCATGGGGCTGAAATGAGCGCGAATGACTACGCACCCGTAGATATGTCTAGTGAGAAGATAAACCGTGTAGGAGTGACAGGTCGTCCACGAGATAGGTGTAGGTGGTAGTATATCTCCACGACAGTCAGCGCATTAGATACTATAATAAATCTGACGCACTTGAATTCCTCAGGATGAGATAAAGGTTGTGGCCTGGAAGGTTGCTAACTGACGGGATAAATCGGCCCTCTCTGGACGGCGAGTCAGGCTCAGTGCCTCCTTCTTGATGTGGCCTCTATGACACTCCGGCCCAGACGGGATCCGAGCCGCCCCTTTGTTGTCACGGTGAAATATTGGCGCATAGCGCGCAAACCGAGCGTGTGCGGCACGCGTAGACTGACCGTTTAGCCTTATCAGCCACTGCGCCCGACCCCATCTCCGGGAGTGTTCACTCCCTTTTTCGCCGGACCTAGGATAGTGGTGGCGAGAGCGTGGTAGATGATACGCAAGTCTTCCATCGCTAAGAGTTAATTCACGCATAAGTAACCATCGCGCATCTACCAAACTGTGGAGGCATCGTCGTTCACCATT